TTGTTGTCAGAGTGTTATGCCGGCATATTTGTAATGTTCTCTTGAATCAAAAGGATATGTTTAGAAGCATGTAATATTGTTAAATTTTTTATTTTTTAAATACTAAATCTACAGTACTGGTAAGTACCTTTTTAATACTGGTATTGTTTGTGATGAAATATTTTGTATTTGTTATACTATATAGTATTGTGATGCTGATAATGGTGCCAGTCATTTTAATTTCTGATCTAGATGGCCTTATTGTGTTGTTAGCCATATTTATGTTTTGTATTAGTAAATGATATTTAAAGATATCAGAATCATAATGATAAGCGAACAAATTGTAATAGGAATATCAATATGAAAATATCATATGTCAGTACTGTATATAGTTTCATGGTTATATTAAAAGGAAGAAAACCATTGCTTAAGGTAAGCTCCTCATAATGGGCTCTTTCAGGTATGCTGAAGATGAAGAAGGGGATACCCAGGGCCTTAGCGAGACTGGAGGGAGGACCAAGCCGAGTCTCAGCAACTCAAAGTACTCGGCAAGGCAGTATTTCCAGCAGCTATTTAACGCTAAGGGCTTGAAGGAACCTACAGATCTGACGGCATCACTAGCCAGCTATGCCACTTTAACTTTCTGTAAGTTTTGAGAATGTATTGATAAAAATTTTCTTGGCTGAACAAAGGGGAAGTAAAATGGAGAGAGGTAAGAGAGGAAGAAAATGAAAAGAAAAGAGGAAGAGGAGAAATAAAGAAAATATATATGCACTATGACAAAAAAAATCACATTTCATTCATTCTATCTCTCTTTTTGTTTTAAAAATGTCCCTGAAATTTTAAAGGATTTTTGTCTTTTACAGGTATCCTTGCAAGTGTTCTTGGAATCTTGCTTGTGGTTTTACAGGAAGAAATTGGCGGTGGTGATGTCGGAGCCATTGTTGCTGTGTCTATTGCATCCGTTTTGGTGATTGTCAATGTTATTGTTATTGCAAGGCAGCCAGAATCCAAGAAAAAACTGACTTTTAAGGTATGACTTCAAAAAAAAACGAAAGGAAAATCGGTTTCATCTTTGTTTCTATATTTTGGGGTATGTGAATTTAGTCCTAAGTGGGTGTTTCTGTACAATTGAATTGATTTTGAGATTAATTATATGTATGTATTTTTTTCTCAGGTGCCCTTAGTACCATGGATTCCAGCCCTCAGTGCCTTCATTAACTTGTATTTGATGTTTAACTTATCACCAGCCACGTGGATTCGGTTTTCAGTGTGGATGGGAATAGGTAAGCTAAAATATATTTTATCTTTGTTTCTGTGACTTCCATAGCATTATTTTAAATCTTATGATCTGGTTTTGCAAGCATTTTATTTACTTTTTTTTCCTTTTTTGGCCTTAGTTTTGCTTGGCAAAATATTTATGCAAGAGAGGTAAAGTTTTGCATGTTATATCAGTAAAATCCAAAGTCAGAGCATAGTGTATGATTCCAAGTAGTGAAGGGCTGAAGCATCTAGATTTTATGTATTAAAAAGGGCCATTTTAAAGTAAATTATTTTCTTTTTGCCAAAAGTAGATGCATTTACTTATTTATAGAGATGGAAAAGTAGTGCAAGTAAAATACTTTCTGTGTAGATATATATATTTTTTTATGGAGACAGATATATCTTTGTGAAAGGATTGGATGTATAATTTAAAGTCAGGTTAATGGCATAATTATTATCAATAGTAATATTATTATTCATAATTACCATCAATTTTATATTGTTATTAACCTGTTGATGCTAAAAACATGCACTGTCCACTTTTGTTTTGTTTTATTACCTTTTTTTACACATAGATGGTTATTTAAGCACTTAGTCACAAAAGAATCAATTATTATATCTACCTCATCTCACCTGTTAATACCTTGCCTTTGATTTTAGAATTTCTTTTATTTTTATTACTATTGTTATTATTATTATTGCTATTATAGTGATATTGGTCATAACAATGATATTAGTTCTGGAGATGAAAACCTATCATAATAATTCAAGGAATGGAGTGAGTAGATGGTCATGTAGTCATGGTAACTGATTCTTTACTGAATAATGATAAAACAAAACCATGGTGGACAGTGCTTATGTACATGCCCTTCCAGCATCATTTGCTATTCTAATACAATGTGCTCATAAACTAAGTTTGGATTGTTTAATGAAACATTTTGCACACATCTGCACAATGCACGGGATGAGTATTTTGGCTTTTTAACTAACTTTTCACGAATAGGATATGCTGCATGCCACTAACACCGCTTCTTAAACTTTCCTTATTGCATGTAGGCTTCCTCATATACTTTCTGTACGGCATTTGGAATAGCAAAGAAGAACTAAAACCAATAAGTAAGTGGATACATAAAGACAACCTGGGCTTTGTTAAAGATGAAGGAAGTAACAGCAAGCTACAGGTGATACCTACCATTGAAATCCAGCCAGCTACCCCTTGCAGCTCCGAACCAAACACGCCGTCCACCGTCCACAAAACACCCAGGGGCAAAACACCTGTCCCAGAATCCCCACTCGTAACGGCAGAAAGGCAGACCACATCAGCAGAGGTGCACAGGGAGGAAACAGGGAGTGTCAGTGAAAATGAGATAAAGGAGGCATTGGCTTCGCTGGATATGATTGTTGGTGGAAATGAAAAGAAGAGGCTCGATAGTGACACAAATGCATCTATCCTTGAAGACGACCAAGAGCACTCGAGTGGCACTAAACCATTATCCAACAGTGATATCCAAGCAAGAGAATTGCCCCCTCTACCAGACGCTGGAGCTGCGGAAGATGGGAGCTCATCGGAAAATGAAGAGGAGACAGATAAAGAAAGTAAATCCAGGAAAGAAGAAGGGTCTAGTTTATCTACTGATCCTGGCTATGAATCCTTGCCACAGGTGATAGCTAATAAAGAGCAAATAGCAAATGGAGAAGCAGAAGACAAGGCAAGCCAGGATCCAGGTTACCAAACTATTGAAGATGTTAAAGCTGAAGTGGAAAAGGCAGAGAAGGAAAGAAGTGCGCAGGGAGAGGGAGAGATAAGAAACAAGCCATTGGAGCAGAGCACAGCTGTTGAGCCAGTGTATTCCGTAGTTGATAAGAAAGCCAAAAAGAAACCTGAACCATTTGACTTACAAGCAGATAATGTAGATAATGAACCATCATTAAAGGGTTCTGCATCTGCACCTGTTCTTCCCCTCTCATCCCCGCCACCAGCACCACCACCGCTCCCTCAAGCAGGAAAGGGATTATCAACAAGTAGTGTCCCAAGCACCCCAGTGATTAGGAAACACCCATTCAAAGTTTTGAAACGTATGTCTAGTTTTGATGATATACCTCCATCCTCTCCGGATAGCCCATTAGCTCGTCATTTGAATAAATTCATAATCATCCCAGTCCATGAACCAGATTCAGATAGTGATGTCAGTGTGCAAGCTTCACCTAGAGGAAGTGTGCAAGACCCACTAATGAATGAGCTCATGGCCAGATTTAAGGATCAAGAAGGTAATAAAAGCCCTGAAAATGACAAGGATGGTAAAAAATTGTTTTATGTGGGTAGTGAGGATTCTCTAGAAAATGCTCTGGCAGGAGCTGATTCAAACAATTTTGTGACAAATTTACCAAGTCCCACAATAACAAGTCAGACTAGAGAATTTAAGCGAGTGTTGACCAAAGACTCCATGCTGGACGGTCTAGACACCATTAGAGAGCGAGGAGAGAGCAAGATCTTTGCCAGTGAAGAAGACAAACCGAAAGAGAATGCTGGTGAAAAATCTCAGGACCTGGACTCACTGCCTGAGGGACTTTCTGAAAGCCATCATGATGCTAAAGAAGATGCTACCAAAAAGGATGAAACTCATAGTCCTACTGAAGTAATATCTGAAACTGAAACAAAACCAGAAGTCAGTATGTCTGATTCCCATGATGAAAAACAACCAGCAGTTGAACAAGTCAGCAAGTCCGATTCTGAAAGCGAAAAGCAGCCAGAAATGAAAACTCCCATCCATGAGACCGATCCTGAAACTGAAAGTGCACCAGAGCCTAAAAGTGCTGTAAAGAGGTCTCAATCTAATAATGAAGAGTTCAATAGACTAAAAGCAATGTTTAATAAGTGAAAAGTACAATGACTGTTTTATTGTGATTTTCTTAGGGATTACATACTTTCAGTGCAACACTTGTATTTTTTCTCTCTCTCTCAAAATACTCATAAGATGTCATTGAATTAAGATATGGAGGAAGAGATATTTGGCACAATTTTATTAATTTTACATAGGTTTTGATATTTTTAAAAGATCAAGAGAATTAACAAAACTTAGCTGTGTTGTTTATCTCTAAAGAAAAATTAATGTTGCAGTTGTTAAGAATAAAAGTTTTTTACACTTGTATTCCTTTTAGTTAATTTTTATATACCTCTGTAAGTTCAAAAAGACCATTCCAATGAGTTCCAAAATCATATCTCCAAGTGCTTCTGAAAGTTATTGGATACTTTGATAAAGCTGATGTGCAGGCAGGTGATACAGGCTCACCTAAAACATTAATTGTGGTTGCAATTTGGTTGTAGGTATTTTATGTATAAAAAAAGTGTAAATGTATCCCAATATTTTTTTTTTTTTTTTTTTTTTTTTTTTTTTTTTTTTTTTTTTTTTTTGTCATTTCTTTTTATTTATTTTTTTTTAACTATCCACTCGCCCCACGATTAAAAGCACGGAAGATATATATACGTAATCTACTCTTGACACTTTTGTATGTGGCCTACTCTTTTTTTTTTTTTTTTTTTTTTTTTTTTAGGAAATGAGGCTAAAATTTCAGGGCCAGACAAGCAAACAGCTGTTTAGCATACACTTAGAGCAGACTTGACCCCACATATGTCATAGCTCCTTGTCACCTGGCATTTGCCCAATTTGCCATGACATGATTTAGGTGTCATACGGTATGAGTTGGTTTAAGGTTGAGAATGCAACGAAAATGCTGAATGTTGACTATTTTTGTATTGATATTAACTTTGATATACTTTTGTTAGTATATTTGTATATATGTATGTCTAAGGCTTAGTATTTCTCTGCCTATGAAGCAAAATAGCTTCATTGTTAAAAAAGGTTATTGTAATACTTTTGTTTGAATTCTTTATTTTTTGTTTGTGAACAAAGGAAGAACAAAAAAAAAAATTATAGATGATTTACCATAATCTAATCACCTTTTGGCAATCATACATGAGGAGAATATGTTGTCTATTCTCTGATGCAGTTGCAGGTTCTGATATAAATATGGTTTTAGATACAAAAGCATGTACATATAGTATACGCACATACAAGAATGTGAATCTATGGAAAATATACTGTTATTCCAGATACATTTTTATTGCTCAACCTGTTATAGGGGAAATTGATTTAAAAGAAATATATATTTTTTTGAAAAATTACTTACATACTATTATTTTGAATATCTTCAGCAGAGTTAATTCTTCTATATCGTTTGTGCAAAACAGTCAGTGAATTAAGAGAAACAGATTGTAACAGGAATTAATGTTGTTTGAAGTTTTATGTGGTCATCCTTCAAATTTTGACATTTAAATAATCTTTATTTATGAAGGCATAAATATAACACTTTCCCTTGTATTTATTTGCATAGATGCATATAGATGGATATATTTGTATTTATGAAAGCTACTTACAGGCTTTTTGTGTATTTAGAGACATCCGTTTATGAATACTGTTTATAGATTAAATTGCTGTCCACTTATAAATTTGGTGACATAGATATCAGAATTTTGTTGTTTTAAATTTATTTAGAAAGCATGTATTTTTTAATAAGCATGCCAATCTAAAAAAAAACTCTTTGACCTTACTAGAATGAGTAGCACTGAGCTTATGGTGTTGCATGATAATTGAGAATAATTTTTTTGTTTTCCTTTTTCAATGTTCAAATAATCTTCACATGAAATAAGTGAAGGCTGCTGATATGAAGAATATATACAAAGTTTCAGGTAAGGTATTTCATAATGATACATGTTCCTTGCTGATGTTGTATTTTGTTGTTGTTTTTGCTATTGTTCCCCTAAGGTTTTTTGTCGGTAATTGAATTTGCTTGTGTGTCATTCTGAGTTGTTACTGTGTATAACCTTCACAACTTGTGCATTCTTGTGTGTATTTACATATGTATTATTAATATTCTTATTTGTAAAACTCATTATTCTTGTAAAACTTATTTCACATATTTTTGTTTATATACAGAAAGAGGCACCCCCCCCCACACACACACATATACACACACTTTTGTTTTTTTGTATTGTGAAATATCAGCTTTAGTCTTATGTTAAACTTTGTCTTACTTTCTTGTATGTGTGTTCTTGTTCATGTATGAGTTATGTTGTTGCTTTTCTTTTGTTCTCTTTCATTGTGTAACCTTCTACATTTCCTTGTTGATTTCCCAACCTCAATTAATGTATCCCAAACCTGTTAAAGAACTCTTAGCCCCATGCTGCTGGGAAAATGTAGTGTTCACTGTAGCTTTGTTTTTTGAAATGTCTCTACACAGATGGCTCCACAAGTGCTTAGCCACAAAGGAGTCAAATAGTAAACCTTGTGGCCTCACCCTTCCTTGAGATTTCATTCATATTTTTACCAATGCTCTTATTATGATTATAAGCATTGTAATTATTATAATGCAGTATAAAATAAAAGAGAATATTTCTGTAAATCAAGGAAGAATGTAAACAGGTGCTATAAGTAGTTCTAATAGTTGTTTCATTGAAGTTTTAGTACTTGTGGAGCCATCTATCTTTAAAGACAATAAACTCAACTCACAGTGGCTTGGCATATTTGCAAATTGGGTTCCCTCCTCTTCATCCAGACTTGTCATGTTGAAAATACCATGTTTAGCTCTTTCAAGGCTGTAAGGCAATAAGAGCAATAAATTAAACCATATCCCTAATCCATTTTGAAGGGTTTAGTATGCATAATGGATTCATGAATATTATTTTAGTTTTGGAAGGCACCCAGTATTGCTCTGGATACTTTATTGTTACTGTTCTGGGTATGTCATTTTTGTGAGGACGGGGAGACAGGCCATCAGTCACACTTTTATTATTGCTTAGCCACCCTCTGTGTATGTAGGGGTTAGGATGTCAGCGTATGATATGGGGTTTAGTATGCAAATGGATTCATGAATATTTTTTTAACTTTGGCATGCACCCAGTATTGCTCTGGGTACTAATTTTCGTCTCATTTTCTAGGTTTAGTCCAGTATTCCTGTTATGGTATCCGCAACAGCACAGGGGAGTATCACATGCAAGGCCTAAAACCTCCCTGCATTAACCGACAGAGAATTGACCTGAAGCGCATCGGAACCATTTTTGAATCGGACTCCGAAGAGGAAGTGTATTCTCAAGTTAATGCAAAATTGCTCGAAAATCCTTACACATTATGAATGTATAATCTGCCTTAATTCTATACTTAGCTGGAAGTTATGAGTTGTGATCTGAGTTGGAGAATTTTA